AAAATGTGACTAGTTCTGTTTTTATGTAATATTTTTCACCTAAACCACTTGGTGCTCGTTCTATAAAGTGCCACCCTAGAAGAAGCTGCCCACAAAACTTAAAACTTTATCTTAAATGTGATTATTTCAACTATAAATGTAATTTTGAATACTTAGGGCCACCTGGTGCACGTTCTACACAGTGCCATCCAGGTAGTTGTTCATAAATTAAAAAAACATCAGCAAAATTTGACTATTTTAACTGTTTAGGTAGTTTTTAACACCCTAACCACCTGGTGCTCGTTTCAATAAAAAGCCACCCATGAAGAAGCTGTCCACTTTAAAAAAATATTTAAAATGTGAATATTTTAACTTTTTATGTAATTTTTGACACCTAGGGCACCTGGTGCTCGTTCTATAAAGTGCCACCCTAGAAGAAGCTGTTCAAAAAATTCATCTAAAATGTGATATGTAATTATTTTAACTTTTCATATAAATTTTGATACCCGCACCTACTCGTTCTATGAAGAACATGTTCTAAAATTTAAAAAAATAGCAAAAATATGATTATTGCAACTTTTAATGTAATTTTGAACACTTAGGTCACCCCTGGTGCATGTTCTTATAGTGCCACTTAAGAAGTTGTTCACGAATATATAAAACATCATCAAAATGTGACTATTTTAACCTTTGATGTAATTTTTGACATCCTAACCACCTGGTGGTCGTTTCAATAAAAAGCCACCCATGAAGAAGCTGTCCACAAATTTCAAAAAATGAATCTAAAATGTGAATATTTCAACTTTTTATGTAATTTTGACACCTAGGGCACCTGGTGCTCGTTTTATAAAGTGCCACCCTAGAAGAAGCTGTTCACAAAATTAATCTAAAATGTGATATTTAATTATTTTAATTTTTCATATAATTTTTGACACCCGGACCTACTCGTTCTATAAAGTGTCACCCATGAAGACCATGTTCAAAAATTTAGCAGAATATGATTATTTCAACTTTTAATGTAATTTTGAACACCTAGGCCACCTAGTGCATGTTCTATACAGTGCCACTTAAGAAGTTGTTCATGAATATATAAAACATCAGCAAAAGGTGACTATTTTAACCTTTGATGTAATTTTTGTCACCCTAACCACCTGGTGCTCGTTTCAGTAAAAAACCACCCATGAAGAAGCTGCCCATAAATTTCAAAAAATGTATCTAAAATGTAATTATTTCAACTTTTTATGTAATTTTTGACACCTAGGGCACCTGGTGCTCGTTCCATAAAGTGTCACCCAGGAAGACCATGTTCAAAAATTTAAAAAATTTATTAAAAATATGATTATTTTACCTAGTGCATGTTCATACAGTGTCACTTAAGAAGTTGTTCATGAATATATTAAATATCAGCAAAATGAGACTATTTTAACCTTTGATGTAATTTTTGACACCCTAACCACCTGGTGCTCGTTTCAATAAAAAGCCACCCATGAAGAAGCTGTCCACAATTTTCAAAAAAATGTATCTAAAATGTGACTATTTTAACCTTTGTTGTAATTTTTGACACCTCAACCACCTGGTGCTCGTTCTATAAAGTGCCACCCATGAAGAAGCTGCTCACAAATTTTAAAAAATCGTCCAATATGTGATTATTGTGTAGTGTAGGGAGGGAATTTGACTGAACAGTTTAATCTTCTTTTTTCAAATTGTAGATGATTTGGGCATAATAATGTATTTTACATCACCATTTAAAAATTCGTTTTGTATTTTTTTTTTTATAAATGGACACGAAATTGAATTCTTTTCATTCGAAACTTTTAACATCGAACAGCCCCCTAAGGGCGTAAGGGGTGTTTCAATGGACGGTTAATTTCCATGCAGATTTCGGGCAACGTCAGGCGATCGGAAGAAGTACAAAGGGCCTAAATCTGGTCGATAAATGCAAAACGCATCGTTTGTATGCAGTTTTTACGCTGCACGTCACCGACCCTTTCTAATCCGATTGAACGACGCCCGTACGTATTATATACAGTGTGTTCCAGTCCCAGACTAAATTGTACAGGTTTATAATATTGTTTAAATCAATTTAAGTTATTTAAATAAGACAAAAAGATATTCTTAGTGTTCATTCATTTTTATACGCTAAAAATAAGCAAGAAAAGCATTTTGTGTTATATATTTTTTTTTAATCGATTTTCTGCGAAAATGACAGGTCTTAGTAAAAAATATCTCGTGCAGAATTGTAGTTAACAATATATTCTTTTATGTCACTACGCTACCATGATTAATGCAAAAAATAGAGGAAGTCAAAGTTCGCAAAAACTGGTTTTTCGCTTTTTCAATCAAAAATTATTTTTTTATGCTAAATTTTTAAATGTAAAAGTTGTTTGACTGAAATGTCCATAAAATTTATATTAAATGTTATAAGTATAATTCTGATGTAGGGACAATCAGTATTTTTGGGACATACTGTATATCAGCGTAAGCTAATAACATTTATTTGTGGTATCATAAAATCACAGATAACTCTTATTCAAAGAATTTTCTTTTCTAATAAAAGAAATAAACCTTACAATAGAAAAACGACACTCTATAAAGTATCCCCCCATTTGCCCCGACTATGCCCAACATCTAATCGTCTCATCGCAGGATAATTAAAGTTTAAGTTTAAAATTTGATATGCTTCTCTTCATCGCATCCTCGCGAAAATGATCAAAACGGTATCAGGGGACTCCAAATTGTAAAGATCCGTCGAAAACTCGACGTAAGGTAAAAATAATGAAAGAATATTAAATATTTCATTAGAGATTCCACTTGAAATATTATGGGAACGATCGAACTTTAATAAAATAAATAACCTATATTTAGTTTCGGCAGATACATTTGTTTTTATAATCGACGTAACTTGAAAAAAATGTAAACACAGCCTACTTGAATAATTTTAGCAAATGGTGCGCGGCGCGATGAATGAACTGCCAAAATCTATTCATCAAAAACGTAGAAAACCGAATTTATATATTTAGAAATCGAAATGAAGCTTGCGACATCTAAATAAATACAAAATATATTTTAGAAAACGTTTCTATATAAAATAATGACGCTGCTATAAGGAAGTTATTACGCTTAAATCGATGTGGCAACGCTGCAGATTTTTTCTAAAAAAAAAAAAGTTTTACTTTTCGTTAATAATTTACATTCGTCAAATTTAAATAAAAAAATATGAATGAAACCTGTTTTGAATCATAAATGTCTATCAATTTTTTAAATAAAATAACAGAATTCTCAATTAACAATTATAAGTAACGAGAAGTCTGAAAAGATCTTCGAAATGTGTTTTATATAGTTAAAGTTCCTCATAAATTCGATAGGGTATAGATCAGGATATCTCGGTGTCCTTACTTGTTCTATATACGTAAAAATACGTAGAAATATGTAAAAACACGTAGAAATGCAAAAAAAAATACGTAAAATACGTAGAAATAGTGTTTCGTTTTTTTAAAATTTCTAAATGTATCAATTTTTTGAGTAAAATAAATGAGAATTCATCATTAACAATTATAAGTAACAAGAAGTCCGAAAAGATCTTCAAAATATGTCTTATATTGGTAAAGTTCCTCATAAATTCGATAGGGGATAGATCAGGATATCTCCCTTACCTGTTTCATGTACGTAAAAATACGTAAGAATACTTAAAAATACGCAAAAACACGTAAAAATACATAAAAATACATAAAAATACGTAAAAATACATAAAAATACGTAAAAATAAGTAAAAATGTGTAAAAATACGTAAAAACATATAGAAACATGTAAAAATGCGAAAACATACGTAAAAACACGTAGAAATAATGTTTTCGTTTTTTTTTTATTTATAAATGTCTATCAATTTTTTAAATAAAATAAATGAGAATTCATCATTATCAATTACTAGTAAGAAGTCCGAAAAGTTATTCGAAATGTGTCTTATATCGATAAAGTTCCTTATAAATTCGATAGGGGATAGATCAGGATATCTCGGTGTCCTTACCTGCTCCATATACGTAAACATTCGTAAAAATACGTAAACATTCGTAAAAATACGTAAACATTCGTAAAAATACGTAAAAATACGTAAAAATACGTAAAAATACGTAAAAATATGTAAAAATATGTAAAAATACGTAAAAATACGTAAAAATACGTAAAAATACGTAGAAATACGTAAAAACATATAGGAACATGTAAAAATGCGAAAAAATACGTAAAAATACGTAGAAATGTTTTCGTTTTTTTTTTATTTATAAATGTATCAATTTTTTAAATAAAATAAATGAGAATTCATCATTATCAATTACTAGTAAGTAGTCCGAAAAGTTCTTCGAAATGTGTCTTATATCGATAAAGTTCCTTATAAATTCGATAGGGTATAGATCAGGATATCTCGGTGTCCTTACCTGCATAAAAATATGTAAAAATACGGGTAATTACGTAAAAATACGTAAAAACACGTAAAAATACGTAAAAACACGTAAACTCGTAAAAATTCGTAAAAAATACGAAAAATACATAAAAATACGTAAAAATTTGTGAAAATACGTAAACATACGTAAAAATATGTAAAAACACGTAAAAATGCGAAAAAAATACGTAAAAACACGTAGAAAAAAGGTTTTCTTTTTTTATATTCATAAAGGTCTTATCAATTTTTTAAATAAAATAAATGAGAACGCATGATTAACAATTATAAGTAACAAGAAGTCTGAAAAGATCTTCGAAATATGTCTTATATCGGTAATGTTCCTCATAAATTCGATAGGTGATAGACCAGGATATCTTGGTGTCCTTACCTGCTCCATATACGTAAAAATACGCAAAAATACGTAAATATACGTAAATATACCTAAAAATACGTAAACATATGTAAAAACACGTAGAAATGCGAAAAAATACGTAAAACTATGTAAAAATATGTAAAAACACTTAAGAATATGTAAAAATACGTAAAAACCCGTAGAAATAATGTTTTCGTTTTTTGTTTGTTTCAGGTTGAGCAGAGAGATGTCCCGGGCATCGATTGCGCCTACTTAGCGATGGATACCGAAGAGGGCGTCGAGGTCGTTTGGAACGAGGTCCAATTTTCGGAGAGGAAGAATTTCAAGAGCCAAGAGGAGAAGATCCAGTTGATTTTCGAAAATCTCACCCAATTGGAACATCCGAACATCGTTAAATTTCACAGATATTGGACTGATACGCATAACGATAAGCCTCGGGTAAGTCGACAATTTTAAATACAAGACGGCGTCTTTGAGGTTATAATATATTTATTGTATAAAATTTTTGGTAAAAATGTATGTAGGTAAAAGATTGTGTGTCTTGATAGAACTTCTACGTAGTAGGAAATCCTACTGACTGCGCCAAAAAAGTTATATTTATAAAAAAAGCAACAAAAACTGTCTTTTCCAAAAAGCTGGACTTTATTTTATGATCTTTACTACATTAAACAGTGAAAAAGCTTAAAATGCCGACAACAAACTAGTTTTGTTGACGAGTAGATCTTGGTGGGGTCTTATCTTGAGACTTTTAGTGTGTCTTAACTCTCCTTAAACCCTCCATTTTAAATCAATTTTTTTCAAAATCTAAGGGCTTCTTCCTCTCATAGAGCTTGTTTTTTGCTAGCAATATCATTTTTCGTTTTTGATTTGATTTTTTTTTTATTTCCACCCCCTTTAACCCCCCATTTTGAATTAAATTATTTTCAGATTCAGTAGGCTTCATCTCCTTAAGGTGATTACAGCACCTCCTTATAATTTTCGGACAAGGATATCTCAAAAAGTAATTTTTTTAGAAAATTTAAATTTGGACAAAATAAATTAGGCAATAATATCTAGAATATGCATATTTTTAAAAGTTTTAATTCCTTCCAGTTTCCGAGAAAAAAAATCAAAGGGCTTTAAATTTTGAAATATAATGAAAATAAATGCATTCCTCAACAGGAGTATTCCTAATATAATCCCCAAATTTAAGCTCTTAATCTCTTGTTAATGATTTTTTAAAATTCGCCGAAATTAGTGGCTAAAACGCCTCGTTAAGTGCTTCTTTCTAGTGTAACGCGTCTGTAACTACCGTATCGTACACTCTGAGTCATCATTCGTTTCTTGCAATGATTTACACTAGTTTACACCAGTTTAAACCAGAAAATAGTACTTAACAAGGCGTTTTAGCCACTAATTTCGGCGAATTTTAAAAAATCATTAACAAAAGATTAAGAGCTTAAATTTAGGGATTATATTAAGAATAATGCTGTTGAGGAATGCATTTATTTTCATTATGATATTTCAAAATTTAAAGCCCTTTGATTTTTTTTCTCGGAAACTGGAGGGAATTAAAATTTTAAAATATATACATGTTCTAGATATTATTGCCTAATATATTTTGCCAAAATTTTAATTTTTTAAAAAATTATTTTTTGAGATATCCTTGTTTGAAAATTATAAGGGGGTGCTGTAATCACCTTAAAGAACTTGATATTTACTAAAAATTTCATGTTTATAACACTTTTCGTTTTTGATTTAGGATTTTTTTTTTATTTGAACCCCTCCTGAACCCCCCGTTTTTAATTAGATTTGTTTTTCCAAATCTAAGGGATTTTTCCCCTCATATAGCTTGATTTCTGCTAGCAATTTCAAATTGATATTATTTTTAGTTTTTAAGTTAGGATTTTTTTTTTAAATTTTCACCCCCTTGTGCTGCTGCGGGCTGAGCTCGATTAAATGGACTGTATAGATAAAGATTTGGGAAATAATATACTTTATTATATAAAAATATGACGTGACATTAGTAAAATTGATTGACAATCAACAGTGACAAAAAGATCATGAAACTAAGGCTTATATACATGGGTGGCGAAACTTTTTTTTAACGGCAGGCATCAAACGCCCCTTGACCCCCGGTTTTTGTTTATATTTTTTTCAGAATCAATAGGCTTCATTTCCTTATAGAGCTTAATTTTTACTAAAAATTTCATGTTGATATCGCGTTTCGTTTTTGATTTTGGAATTTTTTTAATTTCGTTTTTACTTTTTATATATATATTTTTTTTTTGTTTTAACCCCCCTTAACTTCCCATTTTTTGTAAATTTTTTTTTTCAAACTTTCAAGTTGATATAATTTTTCGTTTTTGACTTATCATGCGGACAAAAACCATGACAGCGACGGGCATTTTTAAAAGTTGTTCAAAATTTGATTCCAAGGATTTTGGTACAAACAATTTTCAATTTGGATCATCATTAAAAATTTTGATTTCTTGAAAGCAAACCTATAATACTTTTTACAGACTACTGTGTGAAGAGTAATAATAAATAAAGAGAAATAGCTGTAAATACTGTTTTCATTTGCGTTTGGTTACTTCCAGGTGATATTCATCACGGAATACATGTCGTCCGGTTCACTCAAGCAATTCCTGAAGAGGACCAAACGAAACGTCAAGAAACTGCCACTTCAAGCGTGGAGGAGATGGTGCACGCAAATCCTCTCAGCTTTGAGGTAAATATTTTCCAAAAAAACACCAACAGAATCTAATCGCAAGATATTGCGGCTAAAAAAAAAATAAAGCAACCAAATAATTTTTTTTTCTAGATTTTAAGACATTTGTATTTCTGATCTTGTAGCTTGTAAGAATTGTTTTTTTCTATGATTGTGTCGCCACAATGTTCAGTGTTTTTGTAAGTATGTAAATGGATAATTGTGGACGATGTTTTTTTTTAATATTTATTTCAGCGCTTACAAGGTAAGTCCCTTGTACCTACCGATGATGGATATGTCGTCTAGATAGAGCTACTTTTTAAAGTAGATTCGTAATAATTTCATAAAAATTCCGTATAGATTTTATTAAAAAGGTTATCTGTCTCTCTCGTTATTTGTCGGTAGCTCGGAGGTAGAGCAACGCGCGCGTACGGTAAAATTTACGGGTCTCAAATCTCGAGGGTCACAGATAATCGGCGCGCTAAAGCTCCCCGCGCGCCTCGCGCGTTTACCCGACGCGCGTCCAATTGACGCACGATCGGATCGCGCGTCCGAAAACGCGACAGGACGCTGGGAACTTTTTTGTTATTTCTTTTTTTAAAAACTTTTAGATATTTTGTCGCATTTTACTTCGTTGTGTCGTCTCTTGCCCAGTTTGCAGCGATGAGAGATTGGCGGCGGTCTTCAAGCAGCGTTGCCAGATTTCGTACCTTTTTGTACCGCTCCTTAATTTCTTTCGAACCAATCCGATTTTTTTTACACTATTTACCCCTATTTTATTATTTTTGGTTTTATTTTTAAATTATTATCACTACAGAAGGCATATATTTAACGACTGTTGAATTCTATAAAAAAAATTGATTTTAAAAAGATTTCTTCCTTTCTAATTGTTCTTTTTTTATTTTTTATTGATATTTTGGTTAGAAAAAGCAACTTTTTTGTGTTTTCATGTACATTGTAGACCCGTCCAACAGTTTCAGTAACAGACTTAAGAGAGTGCTTTCAAACGAGGAACGATCGAACGGATTCATGTCTGGTGAGTATCGTGGCTGCATTGGAAGAAATTTTTTTAATTTGATTCAGTTGCATCGCGTTTCAATGAAAATGTATTTTTTTGTCGTTAAAAATGTCTTTTTATACACCAATAATCATCTTTTTTTTTTAAGCACTTAAGTGACTTAAACCGTCAATGTTTCATTTGTTAACAGCTAGATATGACCTAAAAATTTCATAATTCTCAAATTTTAGAAAAAAAAACTTATTTAATACAGTGATTTTTAAGTGTAAATGCAGATATGGCAACATGTACTTTTATTTATCTGTAAAATAATTATGACTTTCCATTGTTGCCAATATTTATGCAAGATACTATTTAAAATTTCCAAAAAAGTATATTTTTCGTAAACTGAAAAATATGAATTGAATTTTTCTTAAAACTTTTTCCCTTATAGGTAAAAATTTTGTTTCTTAACAGGTGTCAGTGATGAAGGAATAATTGACAGGCGACAGGCGTTTTGATAGTTGTCAAGCGTTTTCACAGTTGGTAGGCGTTTTGACAGTTGCCAGGTGTTTTGACAGTTGACAGGCGTTTTGAAAGTTACCAGGTGTTTTGACAGTTTACCGGACTTATTGACAATTGACACATGACGGGACTTGCTGAGATAAGAGATGGGCTAATTATTAATAAGTGACTTTTTGGCAAGACTGACAGATTTGACTTCATTATTGTATATTGTGATTGGAAGAGTGTGCAGAAATTTTTCCACAGTGGCTTTAAAATGGTCCAAATATGTACATAGATTATGCATTGTTGCCAAGTAATGCAAAGTATTGACATTCGAGAAGATTGATTGGACTGATCAAGCAAGTTCTTTTAAAAGGAATTAGACTGGAACTTCCTGGCACAAAAATACATCTAACTACTTTAAAGGTGACTGAAAAGTAAGTATTGACTGTTATGAAGAAATTTTTGGAAATTTTTGTGCATTACCTCTGTTATAGATGTCGCTGTCACTATATGACGCGTTACATGTTGCCAAATCTGTTTTTCATATGGTATTATCGCTGTTTTGGTTTAGGATGTGTTTAAATGCTGTACCTAGTGATTAACAAGGATCGTTGACTATTCAATTATTTAATATATTTTAATTAACTTATTGAAGATCCTTTTTCATATTTTTTAGCTTCTGTTCGTCCCTTTTCCGTATAATATCCATTATCACCGAATCCATTGATTAGCCACGTTTCGCCCCCCCCCCCCCATAATACACGTCTGGCAACACTGTCAACGAAGTATTATGAATGCAGTCTGTTTTTTATTTCTTTACAGTTACTTACATTCCTGTTCACCGCCCATCGTCCACGGAAACCTTACCTGCGACACAATTTTTATTCAGCATAATGGTCTCGTCAAGATAGGATCAGGTAATTTAAATTAAAAAAAAAATCTCATTCAGAATTTTTTGGAAAAAATTTCTTGTCTATATCTCTCCGTGTATAAATAACACAGAGATAATTCGTTTTTTGTTTTTTTTTATTCATCATTCGAGTTTAACAAAAATACTTCTATCTTCGAGCCGTATAGGTTAGGATTGACGGCGACAGATCGTTAAGCCTGCTTCAGATTGTCGCCGGTCAAGGCGTTTTGGCGCTGGTTGCGACAGTAGCGTTTTTGATGCGTCGCGGTGGATTTGTCGCGTACTAAAAGTTCAATTGAGATAGATACATACATATAGGGTGTGTTTGTTTTGGAAATTTTATACAAATGATTTGGGGGTAAATTTAACAAGAAGGGGTAAATAAAGTTAATTTATCGATAAATAATGGATATGAAAATCTATAATAGTCTAAAATTCGATGGTATAAGTACTGCATTAATTTGTTTTTAATCAAAATACAATTTTTATAAATAATTATTGATAGAGAAATAAGATTTTGCAGGGTTGCCTATCAGAATATGGTCGCAAGTACTTTTAATTAAAATATAATTTTGTTTTTAATAATTTCGTTCACTTGTTTTGAAGATAAAATATAGTTAATTTCAAAGAGAGATATGTAAAGTATTTAAAAAAATTGGGTTGCCGTTTTTTGCTTGGGTGCAACCTCTTGTCAACCTGATATAAACAGATATAATTTTACAGTGTCACATAATTTTTTTTGCTATTTTAAAAATGATAACGAATGACATGCAAATGGTCAATCACGTGACTTTTTGTAGATGTCAAAAATTTACATTGTTTTCTAAAAATTTCAAAACTTGGCATTAACTTTTAAATTTTCCAGAAATGTTTAAAGAAAAAGTTGCTGATTTTTAGTTTTTTTTACACCCATGTACCAATTTTCAAGATTTTCTTATAACTTCATTTTTTTTTAATTTTTTCTACCAATTCATTTTTAGGTTACTGAAATTTAAACAAACCTATACAAAATATTTTTTTTACACTTTTTAAGTAACTTTTTCTTTAGACATTTCTCGAAACTGAAAAATAATGCCATTTTTTGCAATATTTAAAAAAAATGTCAACTTTTGACATTTACAACAAGTCACGTGATTGACCATTTGCATGTCATTCGTTATCATTTTTGAAGCATCAGAAGATAGCAGAATCAAAATTCATCTACAATATTTTAAAAAATAATCCATATGTGCGCACTTTATGTGCGACACTGTATATTTGTAACGTATCTTAATAAATTATATATCAAATTAAAGCTAATTTTTGTCTCTTCACGATGGAATGAGGTTGCCTATCTAAAAGTGCCCGCTAATTGGGGTTGCTGTTAAAAATATAAAAAAATCGAGATAAAGTTAGCGTACAATACATCTATCAGACAAGGACGCAGTTTGACAGCTTTCTGTCGTTTTAAGACTGTTGCGCATGCGTCGATAAGTAAGATACTTTCTTCGATATAAAAAATGGAAAAACAGGGAACTCCTAAGCACTTATATTTTAACAATTAAAAGTTAAAACCATCAAGAACTCTTTTTCACCTTCTCTCCATCCATCTCCTCTTGATCACACCTGAACTCACGCTTCGTGTCCGCTCGGTGTTATTCGTCACGTTCACCGTTATTGAACGATAATGATTGCTTTTAAAATGGTCCAGTTACACAAACCAAAAGGACTCTTTTTATTATTTACATTCAAGGGGGTCATATTTTGATTAAATACGATTCCGTTCAACGCCATTTTGTATATTTAAAAAATTATTTAGGATGTGTAATCTTTGACCAATTTTAGTCGAAATCTGATGACTTTTAAAAATAAATCATGTGTTTTAAACTAGTCACCCTGGATATAATTGACAGGAGCCTTACTTACATACAAAATTTGAAGCTTTTCTCTATAGTCAAACAGCCAGACGACGGAATGGGGAAACATGTTTTTCGTACTCCAGGAACCCGGAAACATGAAAAACTGAAATAATCTTGAAGGGTGATTTTTTCACGATTAAAAAATTATTATTATTACTCGTATTGTATATATTTCTACAATTGTTTTATAATTTTAAGAGCTAGTTGCATTCTATCGCAAAATATGTTCTCAAAATTCCTTGTTAGGAGTCACTATAACCTCCATCACCTCTACTGTGGAACATGGTTTTTGACAGCTTCATCTACCATCTCAATAACGGCAGTCACTACACCATCTGTATCTGTAACGTGTGGAGGGTGGGTTACCCCACGGCACTTAGTCCTCATTAGGCCCATTGTGCATCCTCCTGAAATGAAAGGCACCTCCTAGCTCGTGAGCCAGCCTACAGATTTAATGTAGTTGACAAAGTCGCCGAGAGGTGCTTCTCTTATATCGGCCAGTGTTAGCCGATACTCGCCGAACACAAATCTTCTAATAAATGAGAGCGTCGAGCAATCGTAAAGGATATTCTCGATGATCTCATCTTCTTGTTGCACCCTCTTCAGAGTGCGGATTCTGACAGCCCCATGATATAGAGATGCTTTCGTACTTAGCAATGACCAGTTAGAATGCCTGTGACTAGGCGCAGATTCTCTCTGGTCATAGTCAAGTATTTGTTTGCTGCAGTGTTGTCAAGATAACTAAAGAGTTCCCTGGCAACTCTGCAGTTTCTGGTTTCATCCCATCTTTCCTTGAATTTCACAAGGGAATGTTCTTTGATTAGGTCTGTCACTACCGATTTTGTCAGGCCAGTAGAAGGGTCAGGTCCAAAAAGTATTTGGTTGGCTGCTTTCTTGGCTAGTGAGTCAATAAGACGGTTACCTTTCGATGTGGCGTGACCTTTAATCCATCTTAAGGTGACCACATTGTTGATGGATACTTCGGCCAAAGTTTCGTGACATTCTAGTAATATCCCTGAATAAATTCGTGGTCTGTTCAGGGTGAGTAGTGCTTGTCTGCTATCTGTATGGATGAGTATGTTCCTTCCAGTGATATTCTTTCTCACTACACCATAGTAAATTATAATTATAAGTTTGGATATCCAAGCAACAACTTTGTTGGTTCGGACGATCTCGCTAGAGGGTCTCACCTTAAGTTGTGCTCCCTGCCATGGTTGCAGCTGAGGGATTACTTCGGAGAGCCAGGTTTTAGCGGTGTTATTGGCACATATCAAGAAGGAAGCTCCGTTATGGAAATATCCCTTCTTGGACTGTGACCTTGATCTCCCTACGCTCTTCAAAAATTCTTCCATCACTTCTTCCCGAGTCTGAGTCAGTTTTTCCTTGGGAAATTCTTTAGGTACTACCGCCATTTTCATGGGCGTTGGTGCCTCTTTATAGGAAAAGCCACCTTCTACCGCTTGCGCTGCAGATGTGGTTGCCCTTGCTCTGTCCGACTCAGTTTTAGGCTTCTTGGGGTGACCTTATCGCGGCCTCCGTTGAGGACGAACTGTCGCTTTGGAGGCGGCCCCGTTTGAGTTGGGAAGTTTGATTCGGACTTCGGTTAGGCTCCGTCCTTCTTTCAGGGTCTGGGTCTAATCGGTCGTCCTCCTTCAGCCTTAGCTCAAGCCAGTAAGTCCAGTTGAGTTTTGAGACAACTCGTTTTAGGCTAGTTTCGTCTTTGGGATTTGTGGAGCTGGCACTTACCTCCGAAGGTTGTTCCGCCGGAGGTATTGTGAGATTATAACGTCCCTCAGAACGTTACGCAGAGAAGTTAATTCTTCTGGAATCTCTGCGGTTTCCGTTACCTATATGTTGTAGAAGGTATATTCCTTCTGGGAGTTCCCTGTCCACGGTTGTTCTTAAATTGTTTTAGTCCATATTAGCTAGGGAAAAAATGTCCACCCGATCAGAGCCCTGCATGACCGGGTAAGGCTGGATATAAGGGGATTTAGCTACCGCTTTCTCAGCTGCCTTTCAGCCTTCAGTACGTTGCCTTACACCTTAGCTTGCAGTGTCTTTCAGTTAGTTAATAGTGTTGCTCTAGAGCAGCAGTATTAGCGTATCCAGCGGTGGCACGAGGAGGCAAACATTTGTTGATTGCATTTCTCTATTTTCATGCAGAAAGAGATGCCTACAAGTAGATAAGCAACAAGCAAGCAATCTAAATATTGAGCAATGGTTAGCCTACAACCAATCCCGCTCCAGTTTTTATGCTATCTTCTCTAATTAGCGCACCAGTACTGCGGAGTTGGTCTCTTGAGAGAGAGAGAGCTCTTTGAAGCCTGACTACCTGCGGGAAATCTTCGATTTCTTCGCATTAGGTTCTCCATACTTTTGTTTTTGTCTAACGACTTGTTTGTATTCTATGAGGTGAGATTTGTTAGTCTCCCAGTCCTCTTTGAGTTTTGTAGTTTTTGAAAGATTTCCTTGCCATCGTCATGTGGTGTTTTCGTGACACCACCATGCGGTAGTCATTTGATCGTGTTGGACCAGTCTCCTGGGCAGGATTTCTTATAGACGTTACTCATTGTGCTTTATAGATTTCGAGTATTTTTCCGAATATTGTTATTGTTTGGTGTTTCGGCCTCCACCGCTCGCAAAGCATTTTGGAGAAGTTGAGCATATGATGGTATGTCCTCTTCCTAAGATTTCGAGATGACGTGAGGGTCACAACATAAAGTTTATTTTTAATGTTAACCAGCGGTGATCTGACGTTGAAATGTCATCAGACACTTGCCAGTTTAGAATTGATTTATAGATAACAGTTGTGGACAGTGATATCTATTAGTGTTCGACAGCTCGGTGTAGTACCTTTATTATATAGTGACTTACATCTAGTGTTGTTATCCTTACTTCACCAGCTGAAGCGATGAGCATTTGAGTAATTCTTGATTGCAAACAAAGCAATATGGCGCATTAAGGTCGTCAAAAAGACGTAGTTTCAATAAAAATAATAGTAGCTTACCTATATACTCATGCGCAATCGTTTCAAAACGACGGAGAGCTGGCACACTGCGATCCTAGTCTATTCCGCTAACTTTCTTGCTTTTATGTAGTTTTAACAGTTGGCAACCCTTATTTGCAGCCATTTTTACATAGGCAACCCTTATTTGCAGCCATTTTTACATAGGCAACCGTATTTCGTTGCGTAGAAATAAAAAATAGCTTTAATTTGATATATAAATTATTATGATACGATATGAACTCAAAACTAAACGAAGTTGATAAGAGGTTGCGGCCAATTGGAAAACGGCAACCCAAACTTTTTAACTTCTGTACAAAACCGTATTTCTCTATCAATAAGTATGTATAAAAATTGTATTTTAATTAAAAGACAAAAAGAGTCGATCACAATCTACGGCCAGAGGTACAATTGAATAACCGACCCGGTTACCTGATTTTTACCTCTTTATACCAGAGTTATATAGGAATAATATTTGCATAATTTTAATAGGTAATTAATGAAGGTAAATGTAGTAAAAAGTTCAATATGATTGGGACTTAATTTCAAATATTAGAGCCCTAAAGGCATATTAGATTGTATAAATTCCAAAATAAACTGTTGGTCCTACAATTTTCGGACACTCCTCCGTATATACAGCTAAAAATTTGATAAAAATACACACTTTTCTTAAATTGATAACAATTCTACGTCTATCTAAATTGAAATCGAACCGTTCCGTCACTCCTCCTAATACGTCGGCTGTCAATTGTCATCAAAGATCTGACAGTTGACATCTGACGTTAAGAACGTTTTTTTTTGTTTTCTTTTTAAAATAATCGAATTGTCTGTCAAAATAACTTTTGTTTTTTTGCATCTAATTTTGTTCCGTTTTATCGTATCTAAACATATTTGCATGCGTTTAGTTTGAATTGTTTATTACTCCTTATTCAAACTAGACGTCTGCAAACGCTTATAAAATTCGTTACAACGGTAAATGGAACAAAATTCTTAGGTTATATTTCGTTTGTAGATGAATTTGTAATGCAAACGTATTATAATCTCTCTTTAATTAATTTATATACAAATGTTGACAGATAAAGTATTCGAATTAATGACAATTGATGGAAGTGACGGAACATCGAGAGGTACGTTCGAATCGCCGCGCGCTGTTGCCGCTTTGCTTAAAATATCTTTGTATCCGATGAAATATGAGCGACTGATGCGTTTAAACGATTTGAGTGACGAAACTGCTGAAGCAGGCGTAAGGGTGCGTTCGGATAGGCTGTCGTTGATCTATGCTGAAGCGTTACGTCCTTCTAAGGTGGATTTTTGGCTGCTGAGACCTTAGATCGGCTACTGTACGCTTCAGAATGGATGTATTGTAAAACGTCGGCCTTCTTTACGTGCTTTGACCGTTTTCGAATGTTTTTTTCTTCAATTTCTTACGTTATTAATCTTTTTTTTTTTATTGGAACAGTTTGATATTTTTGCTGTTCCGTTCTGTATATGCTTCGATGACGGTTTGATGATCTGGTTCGCCGTAGATGTTTTTCTATCGGCAACTCACCCAGTAGCTAAAAACATTGTTTAACTAATTTTTAATATTGTTTCCCCCTCTAGTTGCTCCTGATTCGATAAACCATCATGTTAAAACGTGCCAGGACGATTTCAAAAATATGCATTTCATTGCTCCCGAACATCCCAGTAAGTACCCTACAACATAAATTAGTGGTTTGAATAGATTTTTTTTTGTATTAATTTCGTTTTAATTTGTTGTCTCTTGTATGTAGGTACAGGGCGATTTCGAAAATTACTTGCTTTTTACCGTAGGTTGACCAAAATTTAATTTGTAACAATATTTCGACAGAAAGAAACTAGTATAGTTTTTTTATCACCACCTCAATAGAAATTTCAATTGTTTTTTGTAATTTTTAGTTACTAAACGTAGATGCATTAAAAATATTAAAAATGTGTACTCAGAATAAACAAAATGTACTGTCTTTTACATAATATGAAAATTTGAATTGTTTATATTTTTATCGAGTGGAAATTGGTTTCATTGATTTTCAAAACTAATCAGCATTAAAAAAAGTTTTTGGCAGATTGGAAAAGAAAAATTTGAATAGTTGACATATTTCAGTTACAGGTATTAAATTAATAATAAGCAATAAAAATAATGTTTATTTCAAAACCTCAAACGTACCAAATCGGTGGAGAATTTTGGACTGTAGAGAATGAAGTTTATAAAATACTACGGAAATATAGAATGGTCACAAAATATTTTTTTTACGACTTGTAACTCGGAAAATTGTTTATTCTCACTTGGAACTCGGAAAAATCGACTTATCTAACTTAGAATTCGGAAAACTCGATTTTTCGGACTTACAACTCGAAAAAATAGAAAACTCCGACTTAGAACTCGGAAAAATCGATTTTTCTAACTTATAACTCGGAAAAATAGATCAGACGAACTTAGAACTCGGAAAACTCGATTTTTCTGACTCGGAGCTCGGAATAATAGATTATTCCGACTTAAAACTCGAAAAAATCGATTTTTCTGACTTAGAACTCGAAAAAAATTGATTATTTCAATTTAGAATCCAGACAAATTAATTTTTTTGACTTAGAACTCGGAAAACACGATTTTTCAAACAAATTACTTCGATTTTTCTGACTTGGAACTCGGAATAATAGAATATTCCGATAAAGAACTGGAAATAATAAATTATTCCGTCTTAGAACTCGACAATAAATAATTTTTCTGACTTACAACTAAAAAAAAATTAAATATTTTTTCGATTTAGAATCCAGAAAATTTAATTTTTTTGACTTAGAACTCAAAGAACACGATTTCTCGGAAAATTCGATTTTTCTTACTTGGTCTTGAAATAATAGATTATTTCGTCTTAGAATTCGGAAAAATCGATTTTTCTGATTTGGAAGTCTGAATAATGAATTATTCTGACTTAGAATTTGGAAAAATCGATTTTTCTGACTTAGAACTCGAAATAACTACATTATTCCGACTGCGAACTTGAAAAAAATCCATTTTTCTGATTTACAATTCGAAATAATAAATTATTCCGTCTTAGAACTCGAAAAAAATCCATTTTTCTGATTTACAATTCGAAATAATAAATTATTCCGTCTTAGAACTCGAAAAAAATCAATTTTTCTGGCTTATAACTCGGAAAGATTTTTTTTTACTTAGAACTCGGAAAACCCGATTTTTCGGACTTTGAACTCGGAAAAACAGATTACTCCGACTTAGAACTCGGAAAATTTGATTTTTCTGATTTGGAAGTCTGAATAATAGATTATTCCGACTTGGAATTTGGAAAAATCGATATTTCTGACTTAGAACTCGAAATAACTACATTATTCCGACTGAGAACTTGAAAAAAATTCATTTTTCTGATTTACAATTCGAAATAATAAATTATTCTGACTTAGAACTCGAAATAACTACATTATTCCGACTTAGAAATCGAAAAAAATCGATTTTTCTGACTTACAAATAATTATAGATACTTCTCCTTTCTGTAAGATCAACTTAAAACAATTATTTTCTCTTATCTATAACTTTTTATTAAAATGAATTCAGCTGCAAATTAAGTCGTTTAAATGACGTTTAAAAAACTTGTAAATCATTTTTAAGAATGACAGCTATCTTTGAGTGCTTTCTGGTCCACTATGTGGTTTCAGAGTTGACATACATGACAGTCTATTGATATCGTAACATCCGGTATGTGTCGCAGTACATAAAATAAGCTCCATAAGAAATACATTGCACTTTATATGTATTGATATTTAAAGTAGTGAAGTTAAATCGAAAATTTTGAAAATCAATAGGGTTTTAGTAATATCAAGGATATAGTAATGTCAGAACTGCAGTTGATGGGGACTTTTTCGAGTTCTAAGGCGGAATAACCTATTTTTCCGAGTTGTAAGTCAGAAAAATCGATTTTTTCGAGTTCTAAATCGGTATAATGTATTTTTCCTAGTTCTAAGTCGGAAATATTGTATTTTTCCGAGTTCTAAATCAAAATAGCCTATTTTTCCAAGTTGTAAGTCAGAAAAATCGATTTTTTTAGTTGTAAGTAAAAAAAATCGGTTTTTCCAAGTTCTAAGTCGGAATAATCAATTTTTCCGAGTTGTAATTTAAGAAAATCGAGGTTTTCAAAGTTCTAAGTCGGAATAATCTATTTTTCCGAGTTGTAAGTCAAAAACATCAAGGTTTTCTAAGTCGGAATAAATCTATTTTTCCGAGTTGTAAGTTAAGAAAATCGAGGTTTTCAAAGTTCTAAGTCGGAATAATCTATTTTTCCGAGTTGTAAGTTAAGAAAATCGAGGTTTTTAAAGTTCTTAGTCGGAATAATCTATTTTTCCGAGTTGTAAGTAAAAAAAATCGGTTTTTCCAAGTTCTAAGTCGGAATAATCAATTTTTCCGAGTTGTAATTTAAGAAAATCGAGGTTTTCAAAGTTCTAAGTCGGAATAATCTATTTTTCCGAGTTGTAAGTCAAAAACATCAAGGTTTTCTAAGTTCTAAGTCGGAATAAATCTATTTTTCCGAGTTGTAAGTTAAGAAAATCGAGGTTTTCAAAGTTCTAAGTCGGAATAATCTATTTTTCCGAGTTGTAAGTTAAGAAAATCGAGGTTTTCAAAGTTCTAAGTCGGAAAAATCTATTTTTCCGAGTTGTAAGTCAAAAACATCAAGGTTTTCGAAGTTCTAAGTTGGAATAATCTATTTTTTCGAGTTCTAAGTCGGAATAATCTGCTTTTCCGAGTTCTAAGTCGGAAAAACCAATTTTTCCGAGTTATAAGTCAGAAAAATAAAAATATTGTGTTTCCCTTCTACCTTCCATAGAATACAGAACACATATTAAGCCTCAATTTTATGAATTTAATGTGGAATCTCGGAAAATGAAAAAACAAAATATCAATTGAGAAAATGCTTGTTCCAAAAAATGATTTTTGATTTATTCACTTCAATTACATTTATACGCATATGATAAATAACTCAACAATAATTTTTTCAATATTTTTGAACCAATGAGCTTATTTCAGTAATATAACGATCATTTATAAAAGCTCGGATCGTTTATATAAATCTATACCAATTTCACGTGAAAAATAAAAGCATACTGAATTAAATATTTTAATAAAGTAGAATCAATACAACAAGATTCATTTATATTAATTTCGAAGTTGGTTTTTGTCCACTTTTGAGTCCTTTCTTGTCCACTGTGATCATATATTTAAAGCACCGTTGCTGGTTCGTAACAAAATGACAAATAAATAAAGAAATTTGCAAATGATAATTGTTGCAAAACAAATGAACGACGGTAGTCATCGGCTACCCGATTAAGACTAGACCTAGATTTGTACATGACCTATACAAATTCCAGTGTCGTACATGCCTGATTTAACATACATTTTCAAAATTTCATGACTCCCTTAATTATTCTAGGTAGTTTTGATTTTTTTTTTGCCTTTTAATATACAAATTAAACCTATACAATACTTTAATAGTTTGGATAGTACCCACTATTGATTATGCATTACAAAGTATTGTACGTGAAAATATCTAAATTCTCGCACTTCATTGATGCCAAGAACATTCAATCAATCACAGTCCAACGAATTTTGGATGCATTTAATGAAAGTATTTCTTTTCTAACATGGAAATTGTTAATTTTGGAGCTATTCCACAAGTATACAATGTAATAGGATCAAACATTAATAGACATCAGTTTGAAACGTATCCAAAAATCAAACGTTTCAACTACTAGTTCCTTAATAATCCATTTCCTTCATATTTTTAATTTGTCTTGTTTATAAATAGATCAATTTTAAGGTTATGTACAGAAGTTACGCATTTACAGTTTATAAATACAGTAATTTTTTTGTTTGTATGAAATCTTCGGTAAAAAATAAGCTGAATCGTCCTGTATATAAATTTTAACGATAAAAATACATTTTTTTTTTTTAATTTTTGGCACACTTTTTAAAATTCAATGATGGTTTTATTTTGGGTAAAACTGGTACAACACTACTCCCCAACATTACACATCTCAACCTGTCTTTATTCAAAATTACATAATTAGAACGCACTAATCACATATTTATTTTAATTTCATTTTTCGTTTATTTTGTGACTAATTTTCTCATTTTTTGTATGGCTTATGAATGAATAATTCTCAAGAGTCACCGCTTAGAGATGACGATGATTTATTATTAAATTTTGTGTAATTTTTATTCAAATCCAAAATACTAATTTTAAAAATATTAGTTTTAAATTTAACAAGTATTATATTTCCAAAAATACTATTCCAATTCACCTATGCTTGCAGTAAGCATTGACTTTTGAGAATTTTTTACTATCCACTTCATTTTTTCATTGTGTGTCATCATTTTTTACTAAAACATAGAACGTATATTTTGAACATTTTTCAAAAGTAATTTTAATTCTAAAAACAGTACAATTATTGAGATTATAACATCTCAAAACTAATTTACACCTCGTTATTGAAATATCCCACTGAGAATATATTATTTAGTTATGTCTTCAATTAATTTAATTCGAGTAAGTGTTAACAAAAAATCTGTATGATGTAATCTCGGGACAAACCTATGAGTACATTTTATGTTGAAAATAATCACAGGTTCTGAGGTTTCTAATTATTTTCGCCCAAATATTCTCTTCCAATGTTGCCCCACGTTGGGCGCCAGATGTTACTTTCTAATTTCCCCGTGAAACGTAGTCCTCATTCAAGTCCAATGGTTGTCACTAAATTCAACTTACGAAGATCTACAGGTATTGCAAATAGTCTCGACTGTCTGACGAACAGCCATGGTTCCGGTTTCGCTCTGAGTAGAGAAAGACGTGGTTTCTTTAGTTCCAAGATTCAAAGTATTCAAATAAGGGCGCCAGATAAATATGTTTCTCTGTCCCCAATGCTTATACCATTTAATAAGTTGCCAGTGTAATAATTATAAAAACAGCCATAGTAACAACTTCAAATATTAAAAAAATAAACGTGTCGTTATAGTATAGAAGTATCTTGTCTTAAACTATAAGAATGTCCCTCTGGCAGTGATTTAAATGATGCCTGATCTAGCGAGCAAGTATTTATTTGTAACAAAAATGTACAACAATAAAATCAAGAACAAAATTACACAACACAGATACTTGTTTTTTCCAAACCAGTGTTGCTCTTATAAGTTGAAAATCGCCAGTAATCACCTGGTAGGAAAAACAAGAGCAATTTTTTTGAAAATCTGATTACTTTCATGAAAAAAACTACTATAAAATCACTTTGATGAAAATAAGAAGTTATACTGTAGCTTTAAACTATGTATTATTTTGATTATTCATAATAATATAAGTCGATAGAAACCTAGGGACCTTCTGAAATCGCTAGATCTGGCTGTAAAATCGCTAAATTGGCAACCCTGTCCCAGACGATACGTTAATTGACATTTTCTATCCCGCGCTCTTCTTTTTATTACATCTTGGCCTCGTCCGCAGAGGTATTTGGTGACTCATTTGGTATTCAGCAGCCCGATGGATGTAAACCGATGTTAGAACGTTTCAAGATGCTGATTTATGAGAGTGTAACAACTAGTAGGTTCGAAGATATCTTTGAATGGGACAGTTATTGTCACTAGTGTAGCAGGAAGCTCAGTAAAGGGCTCTATCCAGAATAAGAACAAAATGTGCTCTGCAGACTCGTTCTCCACGCTGCAGAATCGACAGTCCGATGTTTGTTGCAGACCTATCTTTCTCATGTATTTGCCGATTTAGGGCCAAAGTTCTCTTACTAACTTTTTCTAAATGGATTTGACAATAACGATCACATAGCTTAGTCATACAGCTACAAATTTTATTGGTCCAAGGTTCTGTCTAGTGGCAGACTATCATTTGCTGCCATTAGAAGAACATCAGGGTTATCCTGAACTGTAATTCAGCTTAGGAAAGGAAATTCGTTGCATCTAAATTAAACTCTGACTAAATACACTGTTTATTCCATCATTTGGTAAGACTCTTAAGTCAGCATCTGTTCAATGAAAATGGATACTACATGTTAGCACTTTTATAGGATGTCACCTCCGCGACATCCTTTCTGTTCAACGGCTGCTGACTGAGTGCTGAGCGGCGAAATTTTCTGGTTGATTCTTGTGTGAGTGGGCGTGGCTTGCTGGAATATTCTATTTATAGATGACGCGCCGAAAAGATGCAGCTATAAAACCGCGTGATCAACATTTGTTAGGGGCTGTGCCTTCGAAACTTCCTTTAACCAGTTTATAGGCCAGGAGCAGGTTTTCGTAGATTATTATGGGAGATGAACAGAGCATAACGGTCGCATTGAAAACGGTTACTGCATCTCTTCGGCGCAATGAATATAGTTATTTTTTAACTTAAATGAGAGGGAGCTAGAGCAAATATTTTAACATAAGAGATATCGCGTACTAAGGAAGGTGGCGTGATTCTGTTCAAGACGGTGCATACGTGACCTTTGGCACGCGTTGAGAGGTCAATATATTTAACTTGTATTATATTTAGAGCTGTATAAAAAATTGTTGTTTGCAACATGGGTGATATGCACTTCTTAAATGCATGGGTAGAGAGAGAGAGATGAGTTATTTGATGGAAAAATAATGTGATTTTTACATAAAATTATGTTTGAATTTAAGATTGTAATCTGAAATGTAAACATGTACTGGACATCAGATACGCCTACCGTAACCAGTTTCAGCTCAACGTCATCAAATAAGCTCCACCCGGTTATGACGTGTTGCGCGAAATGTGACGTTGTAGCGAAATGACCTTAAAAAAAATTAACTCAGTTTCCAAAGGACTGAAAGCAATTTGAGCTATCGAAACACATGCCTTCGACATCCGAACGAATAGATTTGATGTCAGTCAGATTCCGTATCTCGTAGGCATACACAAATTCTAATCCCATCCCAGCTCTCTCAATTTCTCTTAAAGCCGCCCTTTCGACATAGTGTAGAAGAATGATAATCTAATTGTACTAAAATAACATTCTGAGATCCGTCATTCGTTTACCAGTGTTATGAGTAATTGAAGGAGCGCAACAAGGACGACCATAGTCCGAAGTATCCAGGTTCGATCCCTGGTCGATGCACTAATGTTTTCTTTCTTTAATTCTCAACTTTTTCAATTTTTCTTTGGTTTCTTTTCACTTTGATGATATGGGTATTATTCAAAATTTCCTAGAAGGAATTGGGATTATTCATTTTAATATTTCCAAAATTGCATTTAATTTTAATTTCACCTTTGCTGCTGACCGTACTTGAAAACTTAACACTGGTGAACAAAAGAAGGACCTTAGATATTTATTCTAGTACAATTAGATTGTCGTCCTTCTACACGATGTTTAAAAGGAACTGAGAGAGCTGGGATTGGATTAGAATTTGTTTGTGCCAACGAGAGTCGGAATCTAATTGACTTCAAATGGAGAATAAAAATAAACAAGGCAAACTCAGTCCAAGTGAACTTCGCTCTAAGAAAAGCTCAGTCTTTTTAAATAACATCGCATGCATTATAATTTGATTTTCACGGCTTCAAGTAAGATTGTGCCATCAGCTAATATTCCTATGACTGTTTCTTTATTTGTTGGTAGATACGTTGTATACAATACCTACATTAAAGGTCCCAAATCATTACTTTGTGGAACATCTGATTTTATTAGGAAACTGTTGGACATACTTTCATTTTGTTCGTATTTCTCGGTCACCTAAATAAGATATTTCAACAGTCTAAAGTAAATTATTGGAAGATGTTTCTTGATTGAAGCATTATAAAAGTTATTGTAAAGGACGTCGGAAGACGCCATTCGCCTCCTACTATAGAAGCAGAGCAGTGGCGCCTTTCGACGCTGTCTGCAGCGAAAAGGTTAAGAGAAATTTCTAGAATCTCAAGTGTTTCGATGAATGATATGGAATTGCAATTTTTGGCGAAGGTGTCATAGATAAAATGGTGGAATGTTCGAGTCCCTTCACTTTTGTATGTAAATAGATTCTTTGTTGTTGGAGTTGTCAATTTTAAGATAAATATTCTAATTTTGAAGATACATATTGATATAAAATTGTGCTGATATAGAAAATAAGTAATTGAAATAAATTACGGTTAAGTTGTAAATAAATTAAATAAATAGACGTTACATTGGTGTCAGAAGTCGCAAGATAATAATTTAGCTAAGAATCCAGCAAATAAATCTGTTTTGGCTGCGTTCCTTCTAATTGTCAATTTGGTCTTTGTTCCTTACATGGTAGGGAACTTGAGTCTTTTTCATTTCCAACTATCCCTTTATGACTTTTAACCCAAATAAAAACGATCTTGATTTTAGAATTATGAAGAGAAACGAGAGACTATTGGTTCATCATTTTTATTGGTTTCCATATTGAATTGTCATAAAGATTTAAGTTGCTTATGTAGTTTGAGAATAATCACTTCTGTACTTCTTTGATTTTGTATTTAATTGGGTTAATTATTATATTTAATGTTGTTTTATCTACTGAGGCATGGGTTCGGTGCCATCTTGACCACTAAAATCTTAACAGCGGAAAGTTAACCTAAAAAGTTTGCACAAATTGGTCATTTATATTTTTGAAAACTGAAAAATAAACCACTAAAACTGTTTAGTTTACACAAATATATGTTCTTAACATATTTTTACAATTATTTATTTAAAAAAGAAGACGAAAACTGTTTCTTCACATATGAAAACAAATGTCATTCATTTGTAACTGTAATAATGGATAAATAGGTGGTTCCGGCGAGTGTATTAATTAGATGGCGCTGTAATCCTAATTTCTCTTCTATATTGCTTCGAATTTCCTTAATCCTAATCCTTAATTATCTGTAATTAACTAAGACATTAAAAATCATAGTATTAACCTTGCACGTTCAGGTTCATCGGTTGACATTCACCTATCGCGGAAATTTGCAGTGAAACTGTTTCATGATATTCTGCAGATTTTTTGTTGACATATTGCCACCATTACATTACCGATTTTCATCGATAATAATCGATTTTATTCGATAATCAACGATTTTTATGAATACTAATCGATTTTATTTGATAATTGCCGATTTTCATTGATAATAATCAATTTTCATCGATAATAATCGATTTTTATCGATTTTCCTTCATAACCACCGATTTTCATCGATATAATCGGTTTGAATCTTAAAAAAACTATTGTTTGCGGTTAACGTCATCACAGCACCTTTCTCTCTCCTTTTTGCAGCACAAATGGGTCCGCCCGTCGACATATACTCCTTCGGCATGTGCGCCTTGGAAATGGCGGCCTTAGAGATCATCGGCAACGGAGATTCCGGCAACAAGGTCACCGAGGAGAACGTCAAGAAGACGATCGATTCGCTCGAAGATCAACACCAGAAGGACTTCATCTTGAAGTGTTTGTCCCCGAAGCCGGAGGATCGGCCTACGTCCAAGGAGCTGTTGTTCCATCCGCTGTTGTTCGAGGTGCACAGCTTGAAGCTGCTGGCGGCGCATTGTTTGGTTAGGAAATCCGGTAAGTCGTCTTCTTTTTCTTTAAACCTCTTGGATTTATACCGAAAAACTCAAATAATCGATTATTTTCGATTAATCGGGGAGGTGAAAGTTTATATGGAAGTATCGATTTTTGAAAGGTTGGAAAATTGGAATTGCAGCTACCAATCAGAAGTAAATAATGATGTGTTAGGGTTTTGGATTTTTACATTTTATGGAGGGATACGGTGGTGAAATAAAAATAAATTAGTAAATAAAAATATTAAAAAAATTGAAAATAAATAAAAATAAGTAAAAATAAAAATAAATGAAAACGAATAAAAATAAATTAAATACATAAAAAATAGCTACCCATCATAAGTAAATAATGATGTGTTAGAATTTTTATATTTTATGGGGGGAAACGGTGGTGAAATAAAAATAAATTAGTAAAATTAGTAGTAAAAATAGAAAATAAATTAAAATTACTAAATAAAAATAAATAAAAATAAATAAAAATAAATAAAAATAAATAAAAATAAATAAAAATAAATAAAAATAAATAAAAATAAATAAAAATAAATAAAAATAAATAAAAATAAATAAAAATAAATAAAAATAAATAAAAATAAATAAAAATAAATAAAAATAAATAAAAATAAATAAAAATAAATAAAAATAAATAAAAATAAATAAAAATAAATAAAAATAAATAAAAATAAATTAGATACATAAATAATAAAAAGAATTAAAACCAAATAAGTAGAACTTCTTATGCCCAGGTATGAAAAACATGAGAGGAGTGAATTGATAAAAACGACATATCTCGATGTCCCTAAACCCCGACAGCCTAAGGGAGGACTCTTTTCACAGACTGTTTTCTGTGACCTGTTGGAAAGTCAGTTTTGCATGCAATCTGATGAGAACACGACTTTGCCCTTATCTACATTCTTAGCATTAAATGTTCGTGCAATATTAATGAAACACCTTGTATATCAAAAACGAAACTTTATTAAATAGACGTATGTTTATAGGGCATAATTTTCATGTTTTAACCCAAAGAATTCCTATTCTTAAATGTTCATGCAATATTAATGAAACACCCTGTATATCAAAAACGAAACTTTATCGAACACACATATGTTTAAAAAACCTTATTTTCATGGTTTGACCCAAGGAATCCCTACCATTAAATGTTCTTGCAATATTAATGAAACACCCTGTATATCAAAAACGAAACTTTATTAAATAGACGCATATTTATAGGACCTTATTTTCATGTTTTGACCTAAGGAATTCCTATCGTTAAATGTTCATGCAATATTAATGAAACACCCTGTATATCAAAAACGAAACTTTATCGAACACACATATGTTTAAAAAACCTTATTTTCATGTTTTGACCCAAGGAATTCCTACCATTAAATGTTCGTGCAATATTAATGAAACACCCTGTATATCAAAAACGAAACTTTATTAAGTAGACGCATGTTTATAGGACCTTATTTTCATGTTTTGACCTAAGGAATTCCTATCCTTAAATGTTTGTGCAATATTAATGAAACACCCTGTATATCAAAAACGAAACTTTATCGAATACACATATGTTTAAAAAACTTTATTTTCATGTTTTGACCCAAGGAATTCCTATCCTTAAATGTTCGTGCAATATTAATGAAACACCCTGTATATCAAAAACGAAACTTTATCGAACAGACATGTTTATAAAACCTTATTTTCATGTTTTGTGCAAGGACTATCCTTAAATGTTCGTGCAATATTAATGCAACACCCTGTATCTCAAAAACGATACTTTATTAAACAGACATATGTTTATAAGGTATAATTTTCATGTTTTCTAAATGTTCGTGCAATATTAATGAAACACCTCGTAATTTGTACTAATTTGACCGGACTATTAGCGGAAAAATCATTAAATGCAATCTGAATTTGATTACTTGACCATCACACACTATTTTAATGTTTTTATTTAATTCCTAACTCGAGCATCCGTCGAATATTATGTAAAACGTCATAACTAGTAAAAACAACCAACAATTTTACAAAAAAAAAACTGAAAATACACTTCAAAACATTTTAATTACTACATTTTATGATTCTTGCGACATCTATGCTGCAAATTCTTAATTAACAAGTTCAGCATTGTTTGAACAAGATGGCGACAGCAGTAGGTAATAAAGTTTTCTATAACGTTTAAATTGATAAAAGTATTTCACACTGCATATAGATGGCGCACCAGTTTACGTTACTGAGAAATCTACAACTGCAATGCTAATATTTCTACTAACCGGTAGGTGTCGCTCGTTATATAAAATCTGCAGTTTTCGTACATGCCAACTTTGTCGAAAGGTGTAAAGATGGCGATCGCGTCTTTTATATTTGAAAAATCGATATTTTGCAAAGGTTATTTGCAGCATTTTAAGATAGAAGGTAACTATATTTCGTTTCCTATTGATAAATTTGAAGCTATACTAATTCCGGTTTTGTATTTTTGGTGGTAGATTTAGATGTTTGAAATGTGAATACAGGGTTTTGGTCTTTTGGAGATATGGAATTTTGATAGTTTCAAAATGATTTATTACTACTTATTTATTAATCAGTTATTGTTTATTATAAAAATAAGTAAATCTATTATAATACATCATAAGTTAGTAGATAAAATTGTCTGTTTTATTGTTGTTTTTTATTTATTTTTATCAGAGGAAAGTAATTAAGAGATTTAGATAAAACATATATAGCTCTAGGTACCTACTTGAAAGTGGGAATTTAGCATACAATAATAAGTACTAAACACTTATTTTGGCTTAAAATCTATAAACATACATTAGCATCGTGATCAGACGTATAAAACTGTACAGCTCTACAGTGATTATGGCATGACTTTTCCATGTGATAATAATCTTGGATTTGTAATCTTATATGATTATATTTTAGAACATTTCTGTTAGAATAACGATAATTTTGACTCCAATACACATTTATAAATATTTAATGCCTGTTTATAATGTTGGCTAGGGTTGCTACCTTTTTGAAATGTGAATAAAAGACTATGATGCTAACAGGGGATCTGGTATACAAAAGGTCCTCTTCCTTCTACCAAGGGCAGCTCCATGACGAATTTTCGAGGGGGTGGGGGGTCATTGCCTTTAGATATTCCCTTTTTAGAATATTTTTTTGATTAAAAGGCTCATAAATCATAAGAATTTTCTTGCCATGTCCCCCCCACCCTCTGGAGTCGCCCTTGCTTTCTACTAAACTTAAAAAAAAAGGTCCTCAGCTTGTATATTTTTGTACTACAAGCCAGGTCTCTTTCACAGAGTAAAACAGGACATATGTCGTAAAAAAGGGCATATTGCTTGAAAAAAGTACTGTTCTTTACAACCCTAATTTTGACCAGGAATTTTTGGCTCAAATAATGAAATTTCAATTTTGTGTACCCCTTTAAAATGCAAGAAAAGTTTCAGTTTCATTATAAAAAATGATGTTCTAAATTTCGATTCCAAAAACTTATTTAAATTCAATATCCCCTGTGGTAGTCAAACTTCAATCCTATGAACTATAATTTAGGGAAAAAAAATGCATATTTTTTTATTATTTTAAGAATTTTTAGTAAAATATTATCTTCAGTAAGTCATTGAATAAAGGACTATCTGAATAAGTATTTCAATTTATTACATCCATTCTTACAAAATGAAGTTTGGTTTCCCTCTATTGGTTATAATTGATGAATTCGACGATTATTCTTACTATTTTTTATATTATTTTATCATCAACGTTCTCATTAAGAAATCTTGAATTCAGCGAAATAAAACAAAATATTGGGTTGATGTTGAAATTAAATCTTCAAACTCGAACTTAAAATATCTAAATTATTTATTGTCTGCAGCTAATCTGGCTGCTGCTAAAAGAAGGTATACTACTTTATTGAAGAGAAAGAAAATGTTTGACAACCAGGATATTATTAATAGATTTGATAATGTAACTCGTGTGTTATAGTTACTCTTCTGACTGCAAAAAATGGCACTTTGTGTTTTTTGCTTGCCATTTGTAGTTGGGTACAGGGGAGAGGAGTGAACAACATATACTATGTCCCGGTGGTAGGAGCTGTTGTATAACCTGTCAAATTTTAATTAAAGTTGGTTATCGATGTTTTTTTTTAGTTTTTTGCTGGCAAGGATATAATATGCTCCCAGACGTCTATAACAATAAAAAATCCCTTTACAAGCATTTTCTGTCGTCCGGTTTAGCTAGTTCCGGTGTAGGGATTTCCACCACGTGACCGAATATTTGTATTTTTCAACAAAATTCGGGTTTTTCTAAACTTACGATGATTTTTGTGCAACAAAATGTAACTTTGGAATAGGTGTAAAATCAGAAACAAACGTCGAAAAGTGGTTTAATTGCTCTTAAAATGTTTGTATGACTCTCAACTAAGAGTATTGCTCATGTAAGCATTTTTTATTCAGTAGTTTTACCCCGGGCATTATAAATTAAACTATTTTGACACGTTTTCACGAAAACTTTGATCGAATAAGAAGGGGATAAAACTACTAAATTGAGAATGTTAGAAGGAAAATATTCTTAGTCGAGAGTCATACAAACATTTTGGGAGCATGATAGAATAGAATACTTTAATTAACTATGTTATTTATAAGTACATAAATTTATAGCAGGTCAAAAAAAAAACAATCATAAGATTAAAGTTACAAACGACAATAAAATCATTTGACACATATATAATCTAAACCAGGGATTTCCAAACAACCAAATTACTTGAAAAATCCTATCTCTAGTTTTTTTCCTATTGATACAAAATACCAATTTATACCAATTTAAAAATTGCTGTTGGTTAAGTGAGTAAACTTGACTTCATTTTCTCATCAAAATTTAACAAAATACAGTTCATCAAATTTCTAGAGGCTTTCGACGGCTAGACAGAGAAAGCACTACTGACAGGCATCCCGACGGATTTACGCAATGAAAGTACACTCTGCGCATCAAGTATTTCACTATTTCATTCAG